TATCTTGAAAAGAATTTATTCATCCTTTCATTCATGAGCAAAAAAAAAGGGATCAACTCGCGTGAAATTGAAAAAAAAAAGTAGGAGATGGAAGGAGTAAAAGGTAAGAAGAAAGGAGGAAGAGGAAAAGGAGGGGGAGGAGGGGGAGGAGGAGGAGGTGGTGGATGAGGAGGAGACAGTAGAAAAAGAAGTAGAAACAGAAGAAAAAGAAGAAGAAAACGAAAAAAAAAAAAGAAAGAAAAAAGAAAAAGAGAAAGAAAGAGAGAGAGAGAGAGAGAGAGAGAGAGAGAAAAGAGCAAAAAAAGAAGTGGAAAGGATCGTCGAAGCGTGAACAGCTTAGCAACCTTGAAAGTTTGCAAGTAGGCGTGTCCCGTTCTGTAGCAGACCAATGTCAGTAGGTCGAGACAAACACTTGCCATGAGAACCTGGCGAGAATTGCGTAACGATTGCATAATTATATATGCTTCGGTATAGTGCCTACGATCGAGAGAACCGCGATCAATAAACCCGTTATATTCCTGCATCGAGAACGTATCATGATTCATTGTCGACCTTAGTGCATTGTTGTCAACGAATTTTCCTCGATGTATCTTCGACGATATTATGAAAATAAAAGAAAAGAAAATAGGAAAACAACGAAAGGAAGAAAAAAGAACAATCAAGATAATCCAAGAAAATTCATTCAAATTAATCCAATCGATCTAATCCGATGAATCTAATCCAATGAATATCGAAATATGATTGTGTCGAATATAAATGAAGTGATCTACAGGGGAAAAAAGAAAAAAAAAAAAAAAAAAAGAAAAAAAAGGAGAGAAAAAAAAGAAAAAAAGAAAAAAAAAAGAAAAAGAAAAAAAAAGAGGTATATATAAGAGTAAAGAATTACCATAATTTCATTTCGAGCATTTTAAAATAACATACAAATCGTGGAGTAAAGTCGAGTAAAGTCGATTCGAGCCAAGCCGAGTAGGATAATCTTATCTCCTCTATCGCGAGTTAAGCAAACTCTGGTCAAAAAAAAAAAAAAAAAAAAAAAAAAAAAAAAAAAAAAAAAAAAAAAAAAAAAAATGTTAAACCCACGCTAACACGACTCTCGCTCACTCTTTCTTTAGCCTTCTTTCTCTTCCTTTTTTCTTTTCTTCTTTTTTTTTTTTTTTTTTTTTTTTTTTTTCTTTATGTAAAATTAGCTCGAACCAGAGACTCACAATAATTACAGGACATCCTGGACGATAGGACACTCCACGAAATAATCTAAATAACCGAGAGTATAAGCACATACATTCACATGTACTTTTACAAGTATAAATATATGCTTGTACGGTTTCTACCACCCACGCGATGCGGATCTCGTATTTAATTATCATCACGCGAGAGAGAGAAAGAGAGAGAAAGAGAGAGAGAGAAAGAGAGAGAGAGAGAGAGAGAGAGAGAGAGAGAGAGAGAGAAGGAGGAACTATCGAATTTATTTATTCTATATTATAAAGATTATATATAATAAAGAATTTATTATATATTATACTTTGAAAAATGTATGTACAAATATACATACACACACACACACACGTATATATATATATATATATATATATATTTCTATCTTTCCATATTTTATATAGCGAATTAAGATTCCAAGAAGATAGTTCTACCGGCTCGAAAAGTTATTTGCGGTGTAAAGGATAAACGGGAAACGAAGAAGGAACGTTCATGTGTATGTGTCAGTGTATGTGTATATACATATATATATATATATATATGTATATACATACGTATGCGTATAGAAAGAGAAGGAAAGACAAGGAAGGTGGTAGAAGAGAAGAAGAAAAAATAAAAAAAAAAAGAAAAAAGAACCATAAAAAAACATAAAAAAAGATAAAAAGAGAAGGATAGGTATATATAAGAGCTGCACAGTTCTCGTCCTTGGACTTATATAACGAGGAAGAGACTAAGAGAGGAACGGGGGTAGGGGCGGAGAAAGGATTACAGAAAGAGAATAAAAAGTATGACGGAAGAAGGGTGGAAGAACGAGGATTAAAGATGAAGGATAACGAACAACGTGAAAGGGACGATAATTTCACGTTTGTTCATGCCTGGACAAACGAAGGAATTTCGTCGAAATATTGTTTAGATTTAATCGGGTATTAGACTATGCTTGGCTGCCATATTTAAAACATGTTCAGTCAATATCAACAATTGATTCATTTAATTTTCTCAATGAAACTAATCTTCTGCGAGTATTGGAAAAAGATGCAACGTTAAAAATAATATATATATATATATATATATATATATATATATATCTTTCTTGTTTTTTCTCTTTCTCTCTCTCTCTCTTTTTCTTTTTGTTTCTCTATCTCTCTCTTGCTTTGACACTCGAAGATTTTTCCTTTTCGATCTTCCTTATCGGCCGAGACAATTGTACGAATATTACGTGATATTATCGGGATAAAAATTAATAATAATGGAAAAGAAAAAAAAAAACAATAGAACAGAAGATCGTTAATTAAAGTGAATACAATATTCGCGAATGAAATTAGTGAGAAACGTGTTCTCTTTTCTTTTCTTTTCTTTTTTTGAATATAGGAAAAAAGAAATTTTGTTTGTAAAATATAAGAACGTTTAAAAGATGAAAAACGAAAGAGAGAAAGAAGATCAAAAAGAAAGGAATTCTTTTATACTGCAAAAATTATAAATTAGAGTGATTTTCAAAACGTTCGAAAATGTTACTGTACAAAAATTTATAAATTGTTTGATAATAACGATATCATATTTGTTGTTTTTCGAATCATTCGTTTAAAGAAAAGAAGGAAATCAAAACAAGAAAAAGAACAAAAACGAGAACGAAAACAAGACAAGACAAGTCAAAACAAAACAAAACAAAATAAAATAAACACATCACATAACATCTCACATTGGTTCTCTTTACGACCAGCTGGAATTCAGTCGGCCGCCATGTCAGCAAGTAAAGAGGGTGGAGTATAAAAGGGGCAAATGCGTAAAAGAGAAGAGAGTGGTAGGGTTAATCCTCGGGAACTTGAGGTAGGGCGTGCACGAACGCTCGACAGGTGTCGCCACGTTACAACCTTACGGCAAATGAAAACTCGTCGAGGCAATAACAAATTCTCACACGTGTCTTTCATAGGCACAACAGCACAATGCCAGTTTAAAGAAATATATGTAACTTCTCCTCGTGATAATATAAAAAAAAAACGGTAAGACGCTTATTTCACATCAATTTTATACTTTAGAAAATGGAAATAAAGAAATTTGAGAGAAAACGATGATCCCCATAAAGAGAGAAAAAGAGAGAGAGAGAGAGAGAGAGAGAGAGAGAGAAAGCGAGACAGAGAAAGAGAGAGAAATAAACAGATAAAATAAAATGAGATTATGAAAGAAGAAATTCAAATGATGAATGAATAAACAAACAAACAAATAAATAAATAAATAAATGAAATAAAATAAAATAAAATAGCATCGACGATATTAGAAAAAAAATAGAAAGAAATAGAGATAGGAAAATGATCGATGAAAGAAAAATAAAAAAGAAAACTAAATAAGGATATGTGTGTACATATATATATATATATATATATATATATATATATATATATATATATATGTACACATAATATATATATATAAACAGATTTAAAGAAACGATCGGTAAAACGTTGCTCGGTATGTGTCAGTAAGAACGTAGAAAGAGCCGACGAGAGAGGAGAGGTACAGTCGCATTCAAAAGTGAAATGCGAACGCATGACATAGATTCAAGTACAGAGAGTAGAATTTTTCTGTATATATAGAAAGAAAGAGAGAGAGAGAGAGAGAGAGAAAGAGAAAGAGAGAGAGAGAGAGAGAAAGATAAAGAAAAAAAGAGAAAGACATCCTAGCGGAACGCAGCAACGCCGAGAAAGAGAGAAAGAAAGAGAAAGAAAGAGAAAGAAAGAAAGAAAGAGAAAGAGAAAAAGAAAGAGAGAAAGGGAGAGAAAGAGAAAGATATGTTAGCAAATGGTTAGAAAGGAAATGTTATTTGATATATACAATGTTCTAAAGTAAAGATAAAGGGTATCAAGGTAGAAAATAAATGGATGGAATCGCGCGAATGCGGTCACTGAACTAGTTCCGTTTCGACCCTGACACTGCCATTGCCCCCCCGGGGCCGTCGATTTGTGTCAGATGCTCTCAATATTGCCGCGATTTTAACGTTTAATCACGTAAACTCACCTCTCTCGCTGGATTCCATATCGTAATTATACGTGTCACTTTTCTGGTACTATTGGACGCGAGACTATCTCGTCGTGCGGGCGCACGTGGAAAACTCGACTCGTGGGATTTCGGCTCGGCGTTTACTCAAAATTCACTACGGTATAAACATGGCCGGTCGGGGCACTCTTGTCACACGCACGCTTTCTATGTGTGTTACCCTATGAGAAAGAGAGAGAGAGAGACGGACAGAGAGAGAGAGAGAAAGAGAGAGAGTGAGAGAGAGAAAGAGAGATAGAATGAGAGAAATAGAGAAAGAGAGAGAGAGAGAAAAAGAGAGATAGATAGATAGATAGATATACAAAGAGAGAGAGAGAGAGAGAGAAAGAGTGAGAGAGAGAGAGGTCGTTGAACCTTTTCCCGAAAACTCGACGTCGCTCGCGTTTAACCGCTCCTACCGTCCGTTCTTTTTTTCGACGCCCGAGAAAAACGGTCAAGTACCGTAGCTCGGTGGGTGCCACCTAAAAATAGATTGCGATTTCGGCGATTGTTTTGACTAACAATGTGCTTCGCAACCTACTCAAAGATGGCGCCATTTTATGTCTTTGGTTATCCACGAGTTACCACCACTGTGCTGATTACTTCACGCGCTATTGGACTATAACTATCTTTGCTACGATTGGTCGGTATATATCAACGTCGACCAATAGGACGTTAGTTTTGTACGGGCGATGACGTCTCGATTTACTACGAATACTTTTATTATGACGTTCTTATGTTTCCAAACACTCAACAAAGAGAGAGAGAGAGAGAGGGATAGAGAGATAGATAAATACGTACTACTTGCATATGTATCTATCGTACTTAATTAACATATACGTATGATTTATTAAAATTTTGTGCGCCGCCATAAAGTCCTATTCCGTATTAAATTTCTATCTTGATAGGTTCGTATTTCGTGTCATAATTGAATTTTTATTTTGATGAATGATATATGTAACTACGTAATACGTAAGAAACATGTGTTTAACCTTATTTGATAATATGAGGTAGTAAATGAACGTTTGTTCGATCGAATACATTTTATGAATAATCGTTTGTTTGTTCATTGAATTTTCATTATGAGAAAACATAAACTTCCGAAAAATTGGGTTGTTGTCGGTTCTAAGAGCCATCCAGACAGGGTTTATTATTTCAATATTAAAACCAATGAGTCCTCTTGGAAGGAACCAACGACCGAAGGAACGAAAAAGGTTAAGACAAATTTTTTGTCAAGACATACATTGTTTTAATATTAGATTTAAGTAATTTTGATTGATTTATTATATTGTTATTCGTTTTATACAAATTATTTTAATTATATTACATTTCAATGACTTTACACATGTTCTAATTTATTCATATATTTATATAGGCCTCTGTTAATGATGGGCCAAAACAAAAGAAAAGGAAAACAAATGAAATGAGTCCTATTGAATCAAGGACATCCTCTGATATTGAAGAAGGTAATGACAACAAAGATATTGTAAGAAGAAAGAAGTTAGTTGCCAAAAGGCATTTTAAAGCAACACAAGAATTTGATACAATACAAATGGCAGAAATTAAGAAGAAAATGCAACAAAGGAAGGCAAAGAGTAATTCGAAAAGTAATTCATCGACAAATTCATTCACGCAAATTAATTCTCCTACGAAATTGTATAAAAGTGATGAGGATAAAAAAACGGAAATAATGACGCCACAGATGAGAGTTATTTATGAAAAGTTACAAAAGAAAAATATGAACAAAAAAGTGTCCAAGCAGTCGCAATCGCTTCAAAATGTTAAAGACATTGAAACAGTTGAAAATATTGAACATAGAGTAAAAGTAGACAAGAGAAAAAGAAGAAAAAGAGAGGGCGTGACAAAATCCTCAAGTTCGAATCAAGATACATCTGCTTGTTCCAGTAGTCACGAAAGTAATCCCACAAAAAATGATATTAGGTGTTCTTCAATCAAAGATACAACCGAAATCAAATCAGAGAGGTCAAGTATAACAAAAAATATATTACAAAATAAAAAAAATTCTCAATACAAATCTAAGGAGACAATAATAGGTAACTGTGACAATATTATTATATATACGTCTATCTTATATGAATTGTCTTTATTATAATATTGATTTATTAATTTATTTTCTTTTATAGAAAATAAAGAATATAATAATAGTATAAATAAGAAAAGTGGTAGAGTTATATCAAAAAGAAATTTGGCCAAAGATCGTATGGATAAATTAAAGACAACATTAAATTTACAAATGAAAGATCAAAAGAATAATAATAAATCATCACAAAGCAATGATAAATCATTGCTAGCTATTATAAAAGATAATGGTATGTGTATAGTTCTTTATTCTAATTATTTAGAAACAAAAATATAATTTAATTAATAATTGGATATAATGTTTAAATGTATATTTTAGAAATACCGGATATTTATAAAACCAGTGATATGAGGTATAAAAATTTACGTAATAGGCTATTACGTAATAAAATAATCCCTGATGAAAATCAATTGTTGGCTTCAGTCAAAACTAATATGCAAAATCAATCTTTAAATGCATTAGGCGAAAATCCTGTTAATGAGTCTAATAATTCTTCTCTTTATGAAGAAATGGATTGGGAACCAATGGAAGATGAAAAGATAACATTCGAGGTTATAAAAAATATATAAATAAATAAATATATTTATACATATATATATATATATATATATATATATATATATAAAAATATAACTTTGTTTAAAACAATAATTATTTTCTTATTAATTATATACAAGAAATATTTTTTCCACAGGTACAAGCTGCTAGAATACAGTTATGTGTTGAAAATGCTAAAAATGAAACATTACCAATAGAAGGAAATATTTTACAATTTTCATCAATACCAGTTCAAGAGGAAAAGAAAACTTTGTACATTGTTGTAGATACAAATGTGTTTTTATCGAATTTAGATGCAATCATTAAAGCTATGGTTACAGAATTTGCAAAATATGATAAACCAATTCTTGTAATTCCATGGACTGTTATACGAGTAAGTATAAAAAAGAACTTATATAAATTATTTCTAAATTTTTTTTTTTTTTTATATAGAGAGATAGGATTTTCTCTTTCTTTTTGTACTTTTTTTTTTTTTATATTTTATATTTTTTTGCTTTCTTCTTTCTCTCCTATAGGAATTGGATTATTTGAAAAATGACAAATTTGAAAGAAAGTCAATACATTTGCGTGAAAAGGCCAGAAAAGCTATAAATTTTCTCCATGATCATTTTTCTGTTAAACATCCACGTATAGTCGGTCAGACATTAGAGGACGTAAAAAGCAACAAAGAAAAATTTGCCATTGAATGTCCGGACGATGAGATACTACAAGCTTGTTTACAAATTCGTAACGCAGAAAGAACTGTGGTATGTAAGATAGAGAGAATTATTTTGTTTTAGTATTTCGAAGGTTGAATAAAAAACAAAAAAAAAAAAAGGTAGTTTATATATCTCTTTTAATGTAGGCTTTATTATCGTACGATAAAAATCTTTGCAACAAAGCAATGATATACGACATAGTAGCGCTTGGAAGAGACGATCCTCTTGAAAAAATAGATTACATTTTTGCGACTAATAATAAGAACTTATCTTTACACGATATGTGTTTTGAAAAGACACAAGGTGAAGGTTCACAAATTCTTTCAGCTTTCCAAGAAGAATTACGTTATTCGAACGAATTATTCGAAGAGATCCAATCTATGATAAAAGAACTTCTTTCAGCCGTACGTATATGTGTGTGTGTATATATATATATATACATATTTTTTTTGTGCTTATAAAATTTAGAAGAAAACAAATATATTTATATATTTATCATACTATTCAGTCATACTATGTCATATATTTGTCATACTACATATATTTCAAATACATGTATTTGTTCATACTATTTCAGATAGTAAGTAAAGAAATGAAAAATTTATTTGGTGAAACATGGGAAAAATATACTATAATAAAGCCACCTTGGACAATTTTGTGCGTATTAAAATGTGCTATAAAACATTGGATAGCTGCTATAAGCGATGCGTTTGACAGGCAAGCAGAAAATCTTCTCAAAGAACTTTTGGAAATATTTAGAACAATGCCAAGTTTGTACAAATTACATAAATACCATAAATATCTCATGTTGGTATAAGTTAGATGATTATGAAGAATTAATGATAAATTAATTTTCAGAAGGTGGACGAAAATTGAAAGACATTGCAAAAGTATTAGAAAAGTCTGCTGACCTGATTCAAATGATCCATGTGGATAAATATTCTGATCTTATAAATAGAGCATCAAGTACCATTAAAGTAATAATTATTTATACATTTTTATTTTTATTTTTAATTTTGATTTTCATTTTCATTTTCATTTTCATTTTCATTTTCATTTTCATTTTTATTTTCCATTCGTTCTCCTTCTCCATTAAAAATTTATAAGATTTTATTTATCTTGATTTATTTATTTTATAGAATATTAAAAAGAGATATCAAAATTATGAGAATGAGATACGTGAGAGAAAAATACAAGAAGAAATTGGAACGGAGAATGATGTGATTCAACAAAAATGTAGAGCAGATAGGGCCTTCAATTATTTCAATTATATCTATTCGTACGCACGTGACATTGGGTAAAAAGTTTATTCGTATGAAGAATTATTCTTAAGATAGTTTTCAACAAAATTGAAATATTAATATTGTTCCTTTGTAAATGTCTTCTTCTTTTTATTTTTTTTTTATTTTTATTTTTTTTGTTCTCTTTTTTATTTTCAGAGGAATGGCTGCAGATATCGTAAACATGCCGTGCAGTTTTTGTTACGAAATACCAAATCCAGCACCCACAGTTGAATATGTGAAGAAAATACAACCGGAAATTGGCCAAAACGTAAATCATTTGTTACGTATTTTGACCGAGTGAGTAATAAAATTGAACAGATTTATTGATTACGATTATACAAAGATATAATTTTTTCGTTTTTTTTTTTTTTTTTTTTTTTTGAGAGTATTTTAGAGTATTTTTTTCTCTTTTAATTTTTTTTTCTTTCTTTTTTTTTTTGTAATTATTCGTTCCCATTCATTTTATTTACTTTCCTCTTCTACTTCATTTTTAGAGCATTAGAGGGAATGAAGGATGCTTCGATCGATCATAGAACGTTGATTGATCTTTACCACATATTGACAAATTTTCTACCTGATAGAACAATAACGAACACTACGGATTTATGTCCGCTGGATGTTTATTGTTGCTTAAAAGAAAAAGAGGACGTATTGAAATTGGGTGTAAGACAGCTTCAAGAACTCTGCACACATTATTGCAGATTGGCAAGTTACCGATGCATATGAGTTATTATTATTTATATATTGTATCATATATATGCTAAAATAATTGTCATAAAAAAAGGAAAAAGAAAAAGAAAAAAAAAAAAAAAAGAAAAAAAAGAAAAGAAAAAAAAAGAAAGAAAGAAAGAAAAACAATCAAATTGCTATTTGTTAAAATTTTTCAAGATATAATACAAAACGAACGATAAAGACGATATACATAACAGAAAAACAATGACTGTGATAGAAAGGTTTGAAATAGAAATGAAAAGTGATGGTAGTGGTGGCGGTGGTGGGTGGTGGGTGGTGAGGGTGATGGGTAATAGGAAAAGAGAAATAGAAAGATAGATAGAGAGAGAGAGAGAGAGAGAGAAATGTACGAATATATTTTGATTTTTACTTATTAACGATTTCGCATAAAAAATAGAAAGAGAAGACGTTAACATTAAGTTTTGTATAGCATTACAAACAGTGAAATAAACGAGCACAGCCGTGTCGCATTATTATTAATTACAATGTGAACTGATTTTCTTTCTTCTTCTTCTTCTTTTTTTTTATTTGTTTATTTTTTTTTCTTTTTTATTTTTTTTTGGCCGTTTTCTTTTTTGTTTCTTTTTTTCTTTCTTTTTTTTTTTTACATCTACACTTAATTTAATTTCTATACAAACGTGGAAAACCATTTGCAGGTGGTTGCAACCAATTGTCCTTAGAATATGTCACATGTTTAGTTTCGATAACGTGAAATGTATAAGCGTGTCTTGATTTTTCGCTTTTGTTGGGATAAGAGAAGTGTACCACTTGTCCATGTATAAGTATGCAACTACC